TCAAAATTAAATGTGGGGTATCTCGGGTATTTTTTAAGATAATCGAGTCGAGTTTGGACTCAATTTGAAGCATTTTTAATTCCCCACACGATCGTGACCAAATAACAAACCTAACCTCACTTTATAAACGTCGAATTAATATTATTTGATATTTTCCGCCATCTTGATTAATAATTTTAATTAAATAATAACGAAATTCTATACTTTTACTTAAAAGTTCCCCGCGAATTTAATTCCGCTCAAATCGTATCATTTTTCATTGAATTATCCGCCATTTTGTCTTTATTTCGACAGACCTTAATTAATTCAACATTGTATTCGTGATCTACATTAAATTCTCTTTAAAACGAGCCCAAACTCGATGGGGTTATCTTAAAAGATAACAAACTTCCGATTGTCACTTTTTTGAGGTTATGTCAAAATTAAATGTGGGATATCTCGGGTATTTTTTAAGATAATCGAGTCGAGTTTGGACTCAATTTGAAGAATTTTTAATTCCCCACACGATCGTGACCAAATAACAAACCTAACCTCACTTTATAAACGTCGAATTAATATTGTTTGATATTTTCCGCCATCTTGATTAATAATTTTAATTAAATAATAACGAAATTCTACATTTTTACTTAAAAGTTCCCCGCGAACTTAATTTCGTTCAAATCGTATCATTTTTCATTGAATTATCCTCCATTTTGTCTTTATTTTGATAGAATTTAATTAAATCAGCTTCGTATTCGTAATCTATATTAAATTCTCTTTAAAACGAGCCCAAACTCGGTCAACTTATCTTAAAAGACAAAAAGTTTCGATTGTCACTTTTTTGAGGTTATGTCAAAATTAAATGTTGAATATCTCGGGTGTTTTTTAAGATAATTGGGTCGTGTTTGGACTCGATTCAAGGGATTTTTAATTTCCCTGCCGATTATGAATAAAAAAAGAACCCAACCTCACTTCGTAAACGTCAAATTGATTTTGTTTGATATTTTTCGCCATCTTGATTAATAATTTTAATTAAATAATAATAAAATTCTTTATTTCTAGATCTAAAAATACCCGGCGAATTTAATTTTGTCGAAATCGAATCATTTTTTCTTTATAATCCGCCATTTTGTTGTTATTATTATCGAATTNTTCATGTGAACAAATTAAAGCTATGTACATAAAACGAGATTAAAAAAAAAGATATTTTGAGATAATCAATTAATTTCTATGAATAATGTACAAGCAACACTGACCTGATAAATTAAATGCTACATATTCTTCTCCGAAATGATAACAAATTAGATTACCAATATAATTTATAGGAATCGTTCATTTTCTCTCAGATTAAAGGTGTGCTTAAAATGATTTCTGCGTGTATAAGATTCGGCAAGTATTAAATTTGTAATTAAAATAAAAACCAATCAAAGTATTTTCATTTTTTAGTAATTATCGGAATTGCGGTAGCTATTATAATAACAGGAATAGTTGTAACAGTTGTAATGACTACAAAATCTGCTGAATCATCTGAAATTGAATGTTCAAGTATGATTATAATTAGTTCTTTTTATTTATTAATTATAATTAATTTTAGACTTTGTGGGTCCATTTTTAAAAATTGAGGTGAAAGAGGACCTTGTTGTTATAGAATGGTCACGTCCGACCACTTCAAATTGTGAAATTACCTATTATCTTGAAGTAAATATGAACGGAGAAACCAACTACGAGGGATATAACACAACAGATACGAGTTTAATCATATCAAAAAGACCGAAATTTTGTACGTTAATTCAAGTTAGTATAACGGCTCTAGGAAAAGAAACGGGTATTGGAGCCTCTTCTTCAAGCAAGTTGGTTTTACCTAAAAAAGCGGATGTTGATGGTGCTATAATTAAAATCGAATCGTTTAGTTCTCATTTAGAACATCTCACTTGGACCATTCAGCCAGATTTTAAAGGTTGTGAACTTAGTTATGAAATTACAGTAAATGAATTTACGAACATTCAGGATATTTTACCCAATTCTCATTGGTTTATTAGTAGGGAATTATATAAATCATGTAAGGATAATATAGTTAAATTAAAACCTATAGTCGAAGGAATCGTCGGAGTCGATATCGATGTAAGTGATGAAATAGAAGGTAAAAAAAACATATTTTTGAATTCATTAAACTAATAATTATGTTGAAGTACAACCCACACAAAAGAAAATTGATTCATCAATCAACATTAATGCCATATACGATTCAAATAGCATGATATTGAAATGGACTGATAATTCTGAGATGGAATATAAAGGGTGTGAAGTAAAATACAAACTTACCATAAACGAAAAAGAATTTATTAACTTCGAGACACCCAACACTCACATCTTTACTTCTCAACAATTATCAAAACCATGTAAAGCTAATGTTATTACATTAACTCCTATTGTTATAGGAATATATGGAGAAGTTAATGGAAGTGATAAATATGTGTCGGAGTTAATTGAAGGTAAAAAAATTATTTTTATACATACACTAGACCTAATTCACTATCACCAGAACTAACACAAGACCTAAAACGCTAAATTAATCGGAAATTTAAGAATTCACGTATTCAAATAGTGTCTTTGTGCACTGTCACTGTCAACTTTTAATTTAGAAGTGATACCAACATAAATGAGTTATTATTTTTTTAACGTTTCTCTTGAAATTATTTAAATTAAATCTAATAATATTCAAGGACGGTAGAATATACTAGATTCTACTATCCTTGAATAATATTAATATGCTTAATTAATTTATTTATTAAAAATTAATTTAATAAAAATAAATTAAAATGTTACCGCCATCTATTATCGCAACTTTGAAACATGAGAAACGTCAAAATGACGTTTATAAGTGTAAATCGTTTAAATTCAAAATAATAATCTTTTAAGTTAGTGTTAACTTATTACTTTTAGCCTGCGATTCTTGTAAAACCTTAGAATGAAAGCTAAACCCGAATAGTTCTAATTTTAGGTTTTGTATCTTATGCTAAACGCTAAACAATATAACCTAAAACTTTTTAATTTCGATTTTATTAAAAGAAAAAAAATTAAATTACAGTTCCGTTACAAAATATACCTGAAATAGATGGCACATTCGAATTATTTGGATCAAAAATAGCAAGAGTATCATGGGCAATACAAGAAGGATTTGAGACCTGTGAATTAACATACGATTTGAAATTAATTGAAAATTTTGATGTTTTAGACTCAATTAGTGATTATAAAGAGGAAATTTTATTTTGGGAACCCGATGTGGGTGGACGAGATGAATGCGGTGTTTTAAAAGTTACGATTACACCTAAATATAAGTCCGATATAGGAGATATTAAAGAATTAGACTGTTTTATTAATTAAAGATTTATTAAAAACATTTTATCTTCCTTATTTAACAAACGATCTTTCTTTTTTCACCATTAATCGTTTCCTCGCAGCTTTTTCTTTCCACTTTTTTATTTTTTTAGGTTATGTTTATCTAGGTTCTGTCAGTAACTTATTTATTTAGTTATTTTTTTTATAAATAACAGATCAAGAACTCAATAAATAAGATATTTATTACATAATTACATTTATTTTGTGTTTATATTAAGACAAAAACCTTTTTTCATTCAAAAATTAATGACAAACGTTTAAACGTCAAAACAAAATTGTTACCAACCTCAATCGCTGAAATAACTGTGATTTTTTGAATGATTTAAATTTAAATAATACAAATTAATATAAAAGTACTATTTTTATTGCATTTTGTTCTTAATGCTTTACCTTGTTTTTAAACTAAAAGGAGTATTTTAAATTTGTAATTGTTTATTTTATATTTTTGACAGCGTGTTGAAGATATAGGTTATGTTATTGTCATCCAATTTGTGTTGTAAACATATTTTGATCCAATAATTCAATTTAATTGAACGAAATCAGTTCTTTTCTGAACATAATATAGATACTGATGATAATAGTGACTCAGAACAAGTTGAAAAATAACCTAAATTAGATGGTGGACTCTTAACTTTATTGGAAAAGTAAATAAGTACATCATTAATGGCGAAAATGATTGATATTATTAATAAAATTGTTGAGGTTGGTGGTAAGATTAATGTTTTAAACCTAAATAAATGATTTATTTGTAGGAATTGCAAAATCAACAGTTAACCATGCGTTTAAAGAATATAACGATACTAGAAAGGGGTTACTCCTGAGTTTGATGAATTTATCAAGGTCTTGATTGTCATGAACAAAATTTAGATTTAAATAAGCTACTACCTTTCAGCATAGTAGGGATATCACTTCTATTAAGAAAGTTATGATACAAAGTATGTTTTTTTTGTAGGTTATGAAGAGAAAATCTATAAATTTAAGGCAAACCGGACAAGATAAATTGTTTAGAGATCATAATGTTTAAAAAATGTTAAAAGTTAAAGGGTTGTATTTCAATCTGACGTTTATTTTTTGGGATAAAACCATGAAACAATTATTATACATGGTGAATTGATGGTTGGAGGAAATTAATGGATAAAATTATTTACAAACTACGATTAATTTATGTATTAAGAATTAATAAAAATAAATTAAAGTGTTACCGCCATCTATTATCGCAACTTTGAATCATAAGAAACGTCAAAATGAGATCTGTCAAAGAAATTATATATAAATATAAGTCCAATATAAAAGATATTAAAGAATTAGATTGTTTTATTTAAAAATATTTTAAACATCAACATTTTGCCTTCCTTGTTTAACAAACGATCTTTCTCTTTTCACCATTAATCGTTCCCTTGCAGCTTTTTCTTTCCGCTTTCTGATTTTTTCGATGGATTCTTCACTGGGAGGTGGTTGTACGTACAAAGCCCGTCTAATAGCATTCCTCAACTTTTCCAAACAATCGGCCGTATTCATAGCTTGCGATCGCGTTAAATCAGAATGAAATACTAAATAACCCTCTTTCGTTAACTTATTTTTATTCTAAAAACGAATTTTTTATAATAAAATGAATAAAAAACGATTTTAAAACATACCATCTCGGCTAATTTCTTTTTTATATCATCCTGCAACCATTCCGCCGATTCCAAATGAAATCTTAAATCGACTTTTGTGTTGACTTTATTTACGTTTTGACCTCCGGGTCCTGGGCTGCGGCTGTAAGTTATTTCTAATTTTTTTATTGGGATGTATCCTGAGAATTTTTCGTGCATACTCTCTATTGGCTTAATATAATAAATTAGTACATAAATTTGGTTAATAAATTATGAATTACCTTAGTAGGGGTCGATAACTTTAAAGAACTCCCCGGATAAAGTGTTTCGAGAGATATGGCACTTTTATAAATTGTGCTATATAGCGTATTTTGGTTAAATCGGTGAATGTTGATTAAATTTCGTTTTAAAACGTTCATTTTAAGCGATTTTGTTGCGAGGTTAGGTTGCGATTGAGGTTATGTTCGAATTATTGTATTTCATTATGTCATTCGTGACTAAAAAATTTTTTTTGCAAATAAATTTAATTTAAATTTATTAAACTAATTATTAAATGTTATAAATGTTTTATTTAAATTAATTTTTAATTTCAATTTTTTAAATTCAATTTTCCCTCTTTTTTTTTTTTTTCGTTTTTTTAATTGTCAATTTTGACGTAACTGTCAAAAAATTAGGTTATTAAACAAATAGGTTATCTTAATGTGTAACAAATTAAGTGGTTTTTTTTAATGGGGGCTTTAAAATTGATACTGATTAATGTATCTCGTGTTGTATTAGAAAATATGATCGAATTTTCCCAGATGTACGCGACACCCAGAGCGGTTGCGCGAGTTCCAGCAGAATTTCCACAGAAATTTTCCCAGAACACCCCCAGTGTCCGGTCAAAGGTCGTTGGGGGTGAGTACGGATGCTTTTCCCCACATTTCCGGCATATTTTCAAGAACGTAAACGCTTTTGGACTTAAAATGTGAGTGATTCGGACTCGATTTGCGAAGAACCCTTCAAGAGTACCTCGAAATGATAACAAGAGTTTGCATAAAAAGGTAATTAACCCTTTGTTGTTTTTTAAATAGTATTAGAATAAGATCTAATTAATAATTTTTTGTGGTATTATTTTAATTTTCTTTGATTAGGGGGGAAAAAATGTTATGGTTTATTATGTTAGGGTTGTAACATTAAATATTTTAACCACTTGTTGATTAACATTTTGGTTATTTAGGCAGCTTAAAATTGGGTTTTAAAATTTCGAAGCGCCTCCACCAATTTTGACACAAATTTCATCAAATCTGTTATTGTTTGGTTCCTTATAAATCGGTTTCGACTCAAAACGAGGTCAATCCGGTTACCTGGCCAGTTTTGGATCTCGTTTTCGGCCCCAGGTGACTCAAGTTCTTACTATAACTTTATCATAAAGCTTAAAAATCAATTAATACAGATTCTAAATTAATATCAAGTGGTGAAAGGTAGATATCTATTTTTGTAGTTAAGGTTCGGATTCTAAACTGTCCAGTAAACCATAAGACCTAGTTTTACACCTCGCTGATCACCAGAAGTGGTACTAACAAGGTGCGAATTAAAGGACTCACTTCACTTCCCTTTTAACGCATAAACGAACGATTACACACAACGTTAAACCCAACCAAAACAACAAATTTTTCCAAATACAACTTTATTTCCCCACATACTTTGTTTCATTTCTAATTCAACGCTCAATTCTTTCACCCGGATTTCCCGGGGAGTTCTTTTCCAAGAAAAATACTCTCAGGTTTATAATTCTTTAATGCCACGCTGGCATTCAACTCTGAAAGGAGAGTTGCAACAACACCTAAGAATAGCGGTAAGAACGCTTTGAACTGAGATTGCAACGTCTCTTCAACGTAGGAAGGGGATAAATTTTCTAAGCGTACTTCCATGACGACGAAGACAGATAAAATTTCCGCTTTTCCGAACGAAAGGAGATTCTTAAAGAAAAGTACTTGTTGAATGGTTGAAAAGTCGGCTTGGAAGAATCCGCAATTGAAAGGTCAACGCGGAATCGTTGCCGGAAATTAAAATTTTATAAAAAAATAAAATTGAGGAAGTGGGAAAATGATTCTAAATAAATTTCTAATCAATTTTTTGATGGATTTTAGTTGTTGACATCATAAGAGTTCAATCAATCATAGTTTGTAAATAGTTTTATCGTTTTTTCTAAAAGCTTCTTTATTACATTTTTATTGATTTTCTTTGAAACCTTTTAATCAAAGATTTTTTTGTGTACAATTGATTTAATACATTGTCACATACAACTTAATTAGCAAATAGTCATTCAATTATCAATAGAGTTAGTGTCTATCATTGCAGCAATTAATTACCATTAATTTCCTCCAACCATCAATTCACCATGTATAATTATTTCATGGTTTTATCATTGAAAATAATCTTAATCAGATTGAAATAAAACCATTATGATCCCCAAACCATTTATCTAGTCAGATTTGGCTTAAATTTCTAGGATTTCTCTTCATAACCTACAAAAAAAACACACTTTGTATCATAACTTTCGTAACAGACGTGATATTGCTACTACATTGAAAGGTTCATTGAATTTTGTTCTACACTTTATATAATGACAATCAAAACCTTGATAAATTCATCAAACTCAGGAATAAACCCATTCCAGTATTGTTATATTCTTTAACCACATGCTAACTGTTGATTTTTCAATTCCTACAAATAAATCATTTATTTAGGTTTAAAACATTAATCTTACCACCAACCTCAACAATTTTATTAACAATATCAATCATTTTCATTGAGTTTTCGCCATTGATGATGTACTCATTTACTTTTCCAATAAAGTTAAGGATCCAAAATCTAATTTAGGTTATTTTTCAACTTGTTCTGAGTCACAACTATCTTCAGTATCTGTATTATGTTTTAAAAAGAACCAATTTCATTCAATTAAATTGAATTATTGGATCAAAATATGTTTACAACACAAATTGGATGACAATAACATAACCTATAACTTCAAAGCGCTGTCAAAAATATAAAATAAACAATTACAAATTTAAAATGCTCCGTTTAGTTTAAAAACAAGATAAAGCACAACATTAAGAACAAAATGCAACAAAAAAATAGTACTTTTATATTAATTTATATCATTTAAATTTAAATCATTCAAAAAATAACAGTTATTTTAGCGATTGAGGTTGGTAACAATTTTGTTTTGACATTTAAAATTGACGTTAAAACCAAGGTTCGTTGAATAAACATATATGAACGTATCCCCCCCGCAAAGGCCTTGCTATGACGTCATTGGAAGAATTGACATTTCTGTTTTTATTTATACAGTGTGTTTCACTGTCTAAAGCATGTTTCTAAAAACGGCTAAACCCGAATGATTCTAGTTCTACGTCTAGTGTTAGTTCTAATTTTAATTCAATAAATAGTAATATCTTATAAATAATAATGAAAAACTTTATTTTTAGATCTAAAACCGTAATTAAACTTCTAAAAAACTTATTTCGTTAAGATCGAATCGAATTTGATTAATCCAACATCGTATTCGTGATCTACATTAAATTCTCTTTAAAACGAGCCCAAACTCGATGGGGTTATCTTAAAAGATAACAAACTTCCGATTGTCACTTTTTTGAGGTTATGTCAAAATTAAATGTGGGATATCTCGGGTATTTTTTAAGATAATCGAGTCGAGTTTGGACTCAATTTGAAGCATTTTTAATTCCCCACACGATCGTGACCAAATAACAAACCTAACCTCACTTTATAAACGTCGAATTAATATTATTTGATATTTTCCGCCATCTTGATTAATAATTTTAATTAAATAATAATAAAATTCTTTATTTTTAGATCTAAAAAGACCCGGCGAATTTAATTTCGTTGAAATCGAATCATTTTTCTTAAATCATCCTCCATTTTGTTTTTATTACTATCGAATTTGATTAATCTAACATCGTATTCGTAATCTACATTAAATTTCCTTTAAAATGAGCCCAAACTCGGTCGAGTTATCTTAAAAAACGACAAACACCACCAACTTCCGGTTGTCACTTTTTTGAGGTTATGTCTAAATTAAACGTGGGATATCTCGGGTATTTTTTAAGATAATTGGGTCGTGTTTGGACTCAAATTAAAGGATTTTTAATTTCCCACGTGATTATGCACAAAGATAAAATCTAACACAACATTTTGTTTTTATTTGTATTTATTGACTTATTTTTACCGACTTTGACTTATGAAATTTGATTCTTTGCCTCGTAACTACTTTATTTAGGTCTATATCAGTAAACTGAGGTTTCCACAATTAAACAAATCGATGATAACAAGCTAATTCGCTCTTGGGTGTCCTGACCAAGCATGATTGTTGTATCAATTTATATAAGATTTATTTATTTCATAAATCAACATTTTTATCTTAGAAGATTAACCTTGCAATCCTCTAAGATAAGAATGTCGATTCTTATCTATCCTATCACGCAAAGAATATATTTTACTTTTAAAGAATCAACATTTTCGTGCTTTTAACTATGTTAACCACTACTTTTTCCTTTTTTTCTAGTACAAATGAAGATGCGTGATGGAACTAGAATTTCCTGCAAGGAAATTATTGGTTCGATTGGTTTATACGTGTCATATAATGTGCTTGGTAACAAGCCAATTAACCAAAAAGGTAAGATTAAAACAACTTGTTTTAATTAAACAGGGGTTTATTTGTAATGCAGTTTTATGTTATTATTGTATGAATTGCATTCCCATCACCTTTCATATACATTAGATAACGAATACCAGCACAAACAACCGGGTAACAAATTCAGTTCCAAACTCAATTTGTAGCGAGGACTCATTTACATTGATAACTCTGGGGACGTTGAATATAATACAACACGATAACTGAATACTATATGCTATATTATTAATAATTCACAAATGTAGCTTGTGTTCTTTGTATCTCATCGTATTTATTGTTTATTCATTTTAATAACAATAAGAAATATTCTTTTTTTAAATAAATCACAACATGAAAAGCGCCATCTATCGATTTAAATTTCAACTTGAAATTTTTAAATAAATTTAATAATTCTTGATTAATTTAACATTAATTAAAATTTATGCTTTAATTTAGTTTAAATATATTTAATAAAATAAAAATAATTGTAGGTAGCAACTAACTTCACATTATTTTCGATTTGTTGGTTGACAGTTTTAAAATAGCTTATAATCAAGTTTTAATCGTATTCGATAAAATTGTGGCGAGATTATTTATCAGTTATTTATTTTAATAACAACAAATTTTTTCTATCGGTTTTCAATTTCAACTTGAAGTAATAAATTTTATGTTGGTAAAAGCTAACTTCACATTATTTTCGATTTATTGACAGTTTTAAAACCGCTTATGATTGATTAAGTTTTCATCGTAAGTATTTCATTAAAAATTACTTCCTAAAACTAAAACTTCATCAAAATCGCTTAAAGAAGTGCCAAGTTAAGCATTAGGATAATTTTTTTGAAGTTTTTAAATTAAAAAGTATGAAAATGAGTGAACTAGGTGGTAGCTAACTTCACGTTGTTTTTCCTTTGTTGACAGCGGTTGACAGTTTTAAAATCGTTTATAACTAAGTTTTAATTGTAAGTATTTTATTAAAAATTACCTCCGCACACGAAAATTTCATCTAAATCGCGTCTAGAAGTGCTAAATTAAGTAAATTAAGGTGATTTTGCGGAGTTCGAGTCGAAAATTAAAAAAAATTTAATTACTTACAACATAACCTCAATTTTTTTTTAATTTAAATTTCTTTTTATTATAGGAAGATATAGAAAAGAGTCTTCAGATAATCCACGACGTCGCAACCAGCAATTTGGGGGAGTTATGTGTAACGACGCAATTTTCTCCTCTTTACGTTCCATTGGATACAACAAAATTCGAAGCCACTCGCCAGAAAGCAGATTTGGCAGCCACTCTTCTGTTAGATCTTGGAATATCACATCACAACGGTAAGAATTTAATTACAAATTTGTTTTATTTATTATAGATGTACAAATTAATTGAAGGATTATTGATTATTGTAAAGTTAAGACTTCATAATCTTTTATTGCTACTTCTTTTCCATTAAACGGGATATACAAACATCCATGACTTGGGTGTATCTAAAATAAAAAGTTATTTAGTTCATATAATCCTAATTCGATTTTTTAGATGGATTTATAAGTGGATTAAAATTGTTTTACCTTTCCAACTGTGTGTGCTCCGGCATGATGAGCCCTACCGATGTATAAATTTTCCCCGGTTGCAGTTCTTCCACCGATTACAGCATTATGAGGAACTCTACCGTTACGTTCTCTTGCCCATTGGAATCTTTGTTCGCATAAAACCTAAAAAATTATTTTTTTATAATAAATTAATTAATTTTTGAGGAATGATTTACCTGGAAATTATGAACCGCTATTTCATTACCTCCATAAGAAATGTAGGCGACTCGTTTTTGTGGGATAACTTTAGCAGGGATCCAATCTCCAGCGTGATAAGCCCTTCCTACATAAATTTGACTTCCATCGAGGTCTTTACCCCCTAAAACCGCGTGGTTATGAACGCCTCTACTCGATGACCAATCAACCCAATAATAATTTCCACCCGCTTGGCCTTTTTAAATAATAAATAAACATAAATATACGGTATTAAATTAAATAAAAGGGAATACTCACAAGACATGTTGATGTTGATAAAACTAAATAACCGGTTTAAAATGTGATTCCCTCACAGCTTTATTTTTATAGATTTATGTTATCTTATCGCGAAATGAGTCCGATTATGACTAAACCAATTTTGTAAAATGGAATTGTTGTGTAGATTTGTATTGGTTCAGTGTTACATATTAAAATTGAACACTCAGAGGTTAAACATTTATTATTACATTACTAATTTTATTTAGATAACACTTAAATACTTAAATATTGATTATTATTGATAAATATAAAATGAGTTTTTCGAATATTGGATTCTGCGAAGTATTTAATAATGTAAATAAAAAACAACGTACTTTCTTATCGTTTTATCTGAGAACAATTTAAGCGTTTGTGCGTATTAAATGGAGAAAATTTAATATTTCCTTTAGATCTCGGCTTGAATAACAAATAATTCAGATTTATCAATAAGATGATATTATCAAAAAACCCTAATTATTTCTCAAACTATTAATGTTAGGCATAGGACATATGGAATATAAAAGATGTAAAATGAGACGCCGAAGACGACTAAGCAATAAAATATGGGGGGTGCCATTTAAAAAAATGAAGTTATGGTGCTTCCAAATTTCGAAAAGTTAACGTGCCATAGTAAAGTGACCAAACGATCTAGACAGCCGTTCTCGGCACCAAAACATACTCCATCATGTTGTTTAAGCATATTCTGAATCCTAAATTGATATATCAAAAATTGAGTGTTCTATGATTTTTTGAACAAATGTCCGTTGGAGGAGAAAAAAATCGAATAACTCGAGAACGGATGAATCAAATTGCAAAAAGTAAAGTTATTTATAAGCCTTCAAAACAGACAAATCCAAATATGTAAAAATATACAGGTTGTTCCATTAAAAAAAATTAAGTAGGTGGCGACTTCCGGTATAACCGGAAGTGCTAGAAATATGAAAATATTTTAGATGAAGAAAACGTAATTGATAATACTTAAGTCTGCATTCTCAAATTTTTTGTTTGGCCAGAACCCCAGAAACGTCTAATGAGCGGTCTCGCTGAGACACCCTGTATATTACATCTTTCATTTTTTATTAATTCAAAGGGTTTTGTAGGATTTTCCATTTTTTACTCAAACTATAAGTCATAAAGTCCGGAGGATGGGTCAACTTTGTTTTTTTAAATGTAACACCCTATATATTATTAGAGTTTCTAATAGAGGTACAATTCCGTGATAGGCGGTGGATTGTAAACTGCAACCACAAACCGCAGGCGACACTACTGGTTGTCGTTACATGTACAAAGTGTCGCCTGCGGTTTGTGGTTGTAGTTTGTTGATCCCTCTCAAACTATAGACCAATTTCGATAATTTCCAATTTTGCTAAACTATTTGAAAAGTTATTATATTCTTCTATGTACACCAGCACATGTGTCATGGTTTTGTTTCCGATCGCTCTACAATTACCAACTTGGCTACGATTTCCGAGTTTATCTGTAGCACCTTGGATAGACGTGGGCAAGTGGATTTTGTATACACTGATCTATCCAAAGCCTTTGATCTGATTGACCATGGAATTCTCTTACATAAATTGAGCTCTTTCGAATTTGTCCCTTCAGCAATTCAACTTCTGGCCTCTTATTTCCAACATAGAAAATGTTATGTTGCTTACAATGGATATTTTTCTAATGAGTTCACTCTTACCTCAGGGCTTCCACAGGGATCAAATTTAGGCCCTCTATTATTTGTTTGGACTCATTTTAAAGGTTTTTTAAAAAAGAATACATCATGAAAGAACACTATGAAGTTGATAACTAACTTCAGGTTTAAAATGTTAACCTCAATTTCGACATATTTGTAATCGTCGTGAAAAATCCTTTAAAATGAGTCCAAACATGATTCGTTTAATTCCTATATTACTCGAGATATAAGCAACTTCCGGTTTGAAATGTCAATGTCATTTTGACATATTCTTAATTTTTATAAAATCTCTTAATATTTGTCACAAAAACAAAAATATAATAAAAAAAAAATTAAAAATTAAGGTTGGTATTAATATTTGAAAATTAAATTGCTATCTTCAGTGTTGATAACTTAGGGTTTAATGTTTTTCGTTCTAACTTTTTTGTTTTTTGAGATAAATGCGTCTTGTTTGGACTCATTTCAAAGGTTTTTTAATGAAGATGACAAATATGTCAAAATTGACGTTGACGTTTCAAACCGGAAGTGATTGTATTTCCATTAATATTAAAGTTAAATATGTCGAGTTTGAACTCATTTTAACGGATTTTTTATGAAGTTGACAAATATGTCAAAATAAAACATTTGAAACGTGTTTTACTTATCATATCTTGTAAATATTAATTTTAGATAGTCTTGGCCATCCTATATCACAGTAATTAAAGACAATCCTTCATGATCTTGACATATTATCGCAGCCGAGGTCGCTTGCGGCCGAGGCAGAATATTTGAAACCTGTTTTACTTATAATATCTTCTAAATATTAATTTTAGACAACCTTTGCCATCTTATATCACACTCGTAGAAGATAATCCTTTATGATCTTGGCATATAATCATAGCCGAGGTCGCTTGCGGTCGAGGCAGAATATTTGAAACCTGTTTTACTTATAATATCTTCTAAATATTAATTTTAGACAACCTTGGCCATCATATATCACACTCATCAAAGACAATCCTTCATGATCTTGACTANTCCTCTATTGTTACGTGTAATATACCTACACCAACACAGCTTCGTTGTGATGTAGCTTCGTTGTGGTGCAGCTTCGTTGTGGTGCGTTAAAGTATAAAAAAAAAGAGTAGAAAAACGAAACAAACGCTCAGCGGCGGTCGTTGGAATGTAGTGTGGGCCGCCGGTAGAAGGCGCTGTGTCGGTTCAGTACATTGACCATGCACTCATAAGTGCTCAGAGGTTTGCCTCAACACGAACTATTGTCTGAGCAGGTGTGCGTAGGTCGGGTACGTTGCACTTCCAGAAGTTGTCACCTTTCAAATTTCCTCACCGTTGGGTTCTTTGCTTACAACACCAAAGAAAAAAAAAGGAGAAGAGAAGACTAGTTTCTCGTCTTCTTAACGTAACCATAAAAGAGAACAAAAAACCTTTACAAATAGAACACAGGTAGATGATGAAAGGAAGGCCGTAGAAATTAAAAGAGATTTTCTCTTTTTCGTTGCTTTAATTTTTGTTGTAAAGGTGCGAAATCGAAAAAGTTTAGTTTGAAATGTATGGTGTGGGTGAACGTAAGACGACGTCGAAATTGTTTTCTTTGTATTTAGGGATTTATTTATAACGTGTTTGCTAAAAATAGTGTTCCAACGACCTTAGTGAAAATTTCGTTCGTTATTTACTGTTGGTCAAGTTTTATTATTGGCTACACGAATTGAAACAACTCAAGTGGTCGTAAATTATAATGTTATTTTCTGTTTTTATACAATGTTTTAGGAATATTTGTCACACTTCGTTTTAAGATTATTTCTCATCATCGAAAAATAATAAAAATTCGTTTCGTGGTAATTACTTCGGCTTCCATTTATAAACCACGCCATTTCCTCTTAATTACCTAACGGTGTGCGCTCTTCGAACTCGACAATAGGCAATAAAAAGCTAGAGATACCTATGGAACACACCGTTTTACCACACACAACATTCTTCCCCACTGCTACTCTTATACACTTCGATTTCATGGTGCATGTTTCTCAACTCGCCTTTTGCTTGCTTTTCTGGGTTTCTTCGCTTAAAGCCATTTCGAACGGTTACTTCAACCCACGCCGACAAGAAATTGTTCAACTCGTATTTAAATTTCTCAAGAATTAGTTTAATGGATTATTTAGTTCCAAAAATATTAAGATATAGTGTTACACAAATTGATTTATTACCCTTTTATAACATGACACTTAAGGGGTGGTTTTTGAACATTCTAAATTGCTGTTTATTTAATCTATTGACACTGTTTCATTAAGCCTCTTTTTGGTTATACAAAAAACATATGGTAATTTACAAAAATAGTCGCCAGATTTCGAATATTTACGGTTATTTATTGTTCCCGACGACAATAAAACTCTATAAAGGGGGTACCAATCTAGGTTAATCCTATTTCCGATATGTCAACAACGGTTTAACCTTCGAATACCAATTTTTCCTCGACACGTTTCCTTAACTCCGAAGAGATCGATAGTATAGCGAAAAAAATAATAAAAATAAAATCCCCCAGTAGGTTTATTGCAAAACAGGAAAAAGGAAATGTAAGATTAGAACCGACAACAATTGATGTGTTTTACGACTTGAAGATCTTTCGAGATTCTTTTGCAGACGTCATGTCTTTCTATTATTTCCTTTTTGGTTAAATGAACAGAGTTGAGATTGAGATTGTTGAGACCACCCGTTTCGAGGTCGCTTGCGGCCGAGGCAGAATATTTGAAACCTGTTTTACTTATTATAGCTTGTAAATATTAATTTTAGACAATCTTGGCCATCGTATATCACACTCATCAAAGACAATCCTTCACCACCTTGGTATATAATGGTAGCCGAGGTCGCTTGCGGCCGAGGCAGAATATTTGAAACGTGTTTTACTTATTATATCTTGTAAAAATTAATTTTAGACAGTCTTGGTCATCGTATATCACACTCATCAAAGACAATCCTTCACCATCTTGGTATATAATGGTAGCCGAGGTCGCTTGCGGCCGAGGCAGAACATTTGAAACCTGTTTTACTTATTATATCTTATAAATATTAATTTTTGACAATCTTCCCCATCATATATCACACTCATCAAAGACAATTCTTCATGATCTAGGCATATAATCGCAGCCAAGGTTGCTTCCGGCCGAGGCAGAACATTTGAAACGTGTTTTACTAATTATATCTTGTAAATATTAATTTTAGACAATCTTGGCCATCGTATATCACACTCATCAAAGACAATCCTTCATGATCTTGGTATATAATGGTAGCCGAGGTCGCTTGCGGCCGAGGCAGAATATTTGAAACCTGTTTTACTTATTATAGCTTGTAGATATTAATTTTAGACAATCTTGGCCATCGTATATTACACTCATCAAAGACAATCCTTCATGATGTTGGTATATAATGGTAGCCGAGGTCGCTTGCGGCCGAGGCAGAATATTTGAAACCTGTTTTACTTATATCTTGTAAATATTAATTTTAGACAATTTTGGCCATCATATATCACACTCATCAAAGACAATTCTTCATGATCTTGGCATATAGTCATAGCCAAGGTCGTTTGCGGCCGAGGAAAAATATTTGAAACCTGTTTTACTTATTATATCTTATAAATATTAATTTTTGACAATCTTCCCCATCATACAGGGTGTCTCAGCGAGATCGGTCATTAGACGTTTCTGTGGTTCTGGCCAAAATAAAAAATTGAGAATTCAGACTTAAGTATTATCAATTACGTTCTCTTCGTCTACAATATTTTCAGATTTCTAGCACTTCCGGTTATACCGGAAGTCGCCACCTACTTTATTTTCTTAAATGGAACACCCTGTATATTTTTACATATTTGGATTTGTCTGTTTTGAAGGTTTATAAATAACTTTACTTTTTGCAATTTGAACCAGCAATTCTCGAGTTATTCGAATTTTTCTAGAAAAATTTGCTCCAGCGGACATTTGTTCAAAAAATCATAGAACACTCAATTTTTGAGATATCAATTTAGGATTCAGAACATGCTTAAACAACATGATGGAGTATGTTTTGGTGCCAAGAACGGCTGTCTAGATCGTTTGGTCACTTTACTATGACACGTTAACTTTTCGAAATTTGGAAGCACCATAACTTCATTTTTTTAAATGGCACCCCCCATATTTTATTACTTAGTCGTCTTCGGCGTCTCATTTTACATCTTTTATACTCCATATGTCCTATGCCTAACATTAATAGTTTGAGAAATAATTAGGGTTTTTTGAAAAATGCTCACATATCATATCGATATTAACCTAGTGTGCCATGGAAAACAAATGTTTAATGACTTATTGACAAATGTCAAAGTCTGATTTACGTTGTTTGATGCTTGTGAGACAATTCTTCATGATCTTGGCATATAATCGCAGCCAAGGTTGCTTCCGGCCGAGGCAGAATATTTGAAACCTGTTTTACTTATTATATCTTATAAATATTAATTTTTGACAATCTTCCCGTTTCCAAGAATTTTTATTAAGACTATTATTACAACTATGATTCCAGAACTAATCTAAGAATACAATCTAATAGAAAATAATAATTAAAACTAGAACTAACACTAAACCTAGAACTAGAAATATTCGGATTAATAGTTTTAGTTTTAATTCAATAAAAATATACAACACAGTGATATCTTATGCTAACTAGCGCTACCTACCACTGTCACTAGAACTAACACAAGACCTAGAACTAGAAACATTCTGGTTTAGCAACACGTCTCTCAAAACAGCTAATCCTGATTGGTTCTAGTTCTAGGTCTCGTGTTAGTTCTTCTATCTCTAGCTCTTCTATCAGCTCCTGAATGTATTTTACCCATATACATTCTACATCTTCTAGACTAATTACTATTTCATTGTTATCATCTACTAGAGTCATTGTAATCAATCTTTCCTTCACATTTGTGACTTCCTATACCTTTTCACATGTATCGAAGTCGCTTTCTTGATATGTCTTCTGATGATCTCTATGTTTCTTCATATTTCGCTTTATTTTGATTTTTGTAAGATCTTAGAGTGACAACTATAAATTTTTAGTAATCGTTTTTCTATTTGTTCGTTGTAATTGTTGTTTTGAAAGTGCAAAATGTTGCCAAATGTTTTTGACTTTGTCAGATGTCTTTGAGTATCTTCTTTATTTCTACCCGTATTTCTGGTTGTTTAAGTTTTTTGAGTTTTGTCTTCTTTTTGTGTTTGAGCCTACAACAGGATTATGGTCGGATGCCATATCAGCTCCGGGATATGTTTCAACTCCCTTAATTCCATTTCTACAACGCTTGTCAATTAGTAATCAATCTGATTTCTAATCAAGTTGATTTGATTATCTTTGGGCGCTTTCTATGTATATATTCTTCTCATTGGCAGTTGAATTCCAGTATTTGCAACCTTTTTTTTTACAGGGCATTGTGTTAAGGGTACAATTTGCTACAACTTTTGTTGTAAAAGCTTTTTTGTATCATGCTCCGAGATTTTTTTTAACATTTTTCTAATTTTCATATTTTTGAAAAATTGATGCATCTGGCTATTTTCAATAATAAGCCTGATTGTTAACTCCTTTTCTATGATCGATACCTGGCATCTGATCGTGTAGGTCTAGGTGACACCTTTGGAGTCAGCTTTAAGTCGTTATTATCAATTGGAAAGAAAAAATTTTAAAACATCATATCTCAAGAACGAATTGAGATATCATGATGAAATAACGAGCATTTTAAAGCTAAATTAATCACGATTTAATATGCCATAAATAATTTCTTGGTTTTCCATGCATTTAATAAAATTTGTGATTTCAACATGAACCAATACCTAGTTATCTCACCCACAATGCCTTTTTTTAACTTTTGGCTATTTTCAGTAATAAGCCTGATTGTTAGCTCCCCTTCTATGATTAATACCTGGCATCTGATCGCAGTTTCATCTTTTCCAGTGGTAGTTAGGTAGTCTAGGTCTAACTATTTTTCAGAATTAGCTTATTTTTTTCACAAAATTCACTCTGATTTCTGACATTTCGACCCAATTCGAATAGCACGTTACTGCTCATAGTTTGTTGTACCAGCTTGACGGTGGTTTCAGTTTCTTCCGATTTTCCTTCTGCAGGTTTAACAAGAAGGGCAGAATTTTTTCCTCAACGGCTTTGGTTTCTTCAGTCTTCCTTCTGTCTTGTCGCTCTTCACTTGGTATTCTTCCAGCTATGGAGTTGCGATTTTGCACCTTTCGTTGTTATCAATTGGAATGAAGAAATTTTAAAACATCATATCTCAAGAACGAATTGAGATATCATGATGAAATAATAAGCATTTTAAAGCAAATTTAATCAAGATTTAATGTGCCAAAAATAATTTCTTAATTTCTAAAGCATCGAATTTTAAATTATTCANTTGTTCAGAACTAATACAAAATTGAACTGATTGATATTAATGTGGAAAAATTTGTTTTTGTCTTGCAAAAATCATCTGTTTACTTCTGACACTTCTGGAGACGACCCTCTTCGCAATAATAAAAGATCCTGTTCTTCTTCCATTTTTACATCATACCACGAAGACACTACTACTTCTATGATGATGCATCAAATCGATTTCGATCATCCCAACTAAAACTGCACCTACAACTTTTATTCTACTTTTTGATGATGAAACATTCTTTTTTAATGAGCACTTCTACCTTTGGCAGCGTTTTTAAGCTGGATGTTATGATATAACCTTTAAATTTGATATGATCGACTAAACTAAAAAAAAATCTAAATCTACTCATTTATTTTTAATCTCAACAAATTATGTAATAAAAATTCCTATTCAAAATAATACATTAAATTCTATGAATTAAATTAACCCACTCCTAAATCATAATTTGAAACATTAATTCCTAAAACTTCCATTATATTGTAAATTATTCCTATTTCTTCCATCGGAATTAACACTCTCGTTTCTTTTAACGTTAAAATCAAAGTTAGAGAATGTGTCCAAATCGTTTGGGTTCAATGTAATCGGTGATGAATGTGCATAAACGGAACTTCTCGGCGAATTCGGCGATATTGGACTCTCGGAGTTAAATGATTGATATTTCCTCGAGTCACTATCGGTCGAATTGAAACCTTCGTCGACGTAATCATTTCTTGTATTTGGCTCTTTAGTTATTGGTCCATTCTTGGATGTTTGACGTTGATAGAAATCATCGACATGATTCGGTTTGATGTAATTATGATAATAAGAGCTTGAAGTGGGAGATGTTGGAGGATTTTCGATAAAATTGTTTATTTCAGTCGGTTTGTAATAAACGTCGTTATTTAATTTCGAATTTCTCCACCGATTTTCAACCAAATTTTCGCGATGATTCATTAATTGTTTAATAAAAAATCCTTGCGCTTCGTTCGGGATCATTTTAATAGGGTCAATTCGAAACGAATTATTACTCGTAACTTTTTCCTGGGCTACAAAAAATTGCGAATTCGGTGTAATCGTGCCGTAAGTATGTCCGGAATGGGTTTCGATAACTCCTCGTTCTTTTTTACCTTCGGTGTACTTTTTTAATGGTTTCTTTTGTACCTGTCCGTATGAACATTCTTTTTCGTGCTCCGTGGTGTTTGAGCCGAATCGAAAGAATTTCGTGCAACCTCGATGTCGAAATACGCAAGGAAATAGCATTAAAGTTAAAATTTTTTCTAAAGCGTGGTGTCGGACGAAATTGCTGGGTAACATTTGATTTTTTATTGCGAAGCATCGATGGCAAACGCTTTTTCCTTCCGCGCTTACAAAAATCGGCGTTGAACAGAGGTAATATTCGCAAAGGCTGCAGGTTAAAATCTCGAGAATCGCTTCTGGAATGTTGTAAACTGTCTCTATCCCTGAAAATAAAAATAAATTCCATTTAAAATCGGATTACAATTTTGTAATCTTGTTTTATTGAGTTTTTACGGTCTTTATCACTTTTCGAAAAGATCAAAAAAATTCCGTATTAACTTTTAGTGGGTACTTATATTGTTTATTACGTATCGTTTAAAAATAAATTTTATGTTATCGGAAATAAAAAATGTACATACGTAGAAAACAATATAAAAAAATATAAACAATTATTTCTCGCTATTTTTAATGATTTATGATATATTTTTGCAATTACCTTTATTAAAATCGAGATTATTATCCGATTTGAAAAACACGCCGGGGTTGTTACAAAGAATTCCGCAACAACTTCCGAAAGTGCAGGTGTCCTCGTGATCCAAAATTTCGTCCCAATTGAGGAGATAAGCGCAATGTTTCTTCCAATTTTTGCAACGAAACAAGAAATAAGCGGCAACTGCTTCATAAGCTGTCGCTCGAAAATTATCGGAGTCTTTTGTGTAACATCTTCCGCACCAACTTGCTCCCGTTGTTGCCAAAATGGTAATTGGACCACATGAGAGAAATTGTTGACATTTTGAACAACGTAAGTCGTTTAAAATGTTATCGGGAAGTTGTGCTATGTTATAACTGAAAGTAAATAAATAAAAAATTGTTGATATATTTATAAGACTATGTGTTATATCTTGAATGAAATGATATTCAAAGCGTTAAAAAATTAAACCAACCCAAGAAAAAGATATAATATTGCCTTAAAACTACCTAATCTATGAACCACCCTGTAATATTGATATATTTATACAGGCTGGGCCAAATTGGACACTTTTAAATGGAAACTCCTCTTTCTTTCTATAAGAGATAGAGGAAAAATGATATCAGTAGCTTTCCCTCAAAGCAATATTTTAGTAGTTATTGACATAAAAATGATTTTTTTAAATGGAACACCCTATATATTACATGGAACACCATCATAATTTTTATATATTTCAAAGAACGAGATATCAAGTATGCCATATTTTTGCAAAGAAAATTTTATGCTCCCGTCGAATTAGCAAAAATGTATAGGATGTTCCATTTAAAAAATTCATTTTTATGTCAATAACTGCTAAAATATTGCTTTACAAAGCTAACTTATTCCATCGAATTCTACCTAAAAAGTTGCTTCGGAAATGTTTTCACAGAAAAGAAGATTTATCAATAAGAAAAAAGTTATGACGATTTTTAGAAAATGCACTTTTTTGAAAAACACCCTGTATCTCTGAAACCGTAAGAGAAACCCCAATTTTGACATATTTGTGAGTTTCATAAAAAATCCTTTAAAATGAGTCCAAACTCGACATATTTAACTTTAATATTAATGGAAATACAATCACTTCCGGTTTGAAACGTCAACGTCAATTTTGACATATTTGTCATCTTCATTAAAAAACCTTTAAAATGAGTCCACAGATGACGCACTTATCTCAAAAAACAAAAAAGTTAGAATAAAAAACATTAAACCCGAAGTTAGCAACAATGAAGATAGCAATTTAATTTTTAAGTGTTAATACCAACCTTAATTTTTTATTTTTTTTTAATTAATATTTTTATTTTTGTGACAAATACTAAGATATTTTATAAAAATTAAGAATGTGTCAAAATGACATTGACATTTCAAACCGGAAGTTGCTTATATCTCGAGTAATATAGGAATTAAACGAATCATGTTTGGACTCATTTTAAAGGATTTTTCACGACGATTACAAATATGTCAAAATTGAGGTTAACATTTTAAACCTGAAGTTAGTTATCAACTTCATAGTGTTCTTTCATGATGTATTCTTTTTTAAAAAACTTTTTTAACGAATCTTAGAGATATTCAAGGTCAAGTAATATTTATATGCATCAAAGCATTAAAAAATTAAACCAACCCAAGTCAATCTAATACGCTGCTAAACATAGTGACTCAAAGAGGTAAAAGACACTAATTTATCATCACGCAACCACTTCTCATTGCCTACTTTAACTCAATATAGAAAATATGCCAAGAAAAGCACAAAGAAAAAGATATAATATTGCCTTAAAACTACCTAATCTATGAACCACTCTGTAATATTGATATATGTACAGGGTGGTTCAAATTGGATGTCCGAATAGGCTATCTCGGAAACTATAAGAGTTAGAAAAAAAGTATCTTACATGTCTCGATCTTTTTTTTTTAAATAAATTCACTTTTTTACAAAGAATTTGATGATGTAGCCAAAAAAATTTTTTCGGGTTTAGATTTTGAGATATTATGACAATAATATCTCAATCGTTCAATCGAATTTGAACCACCCTGTACGAAAGACCAGCCATTTTTATTAATGTTGTTAAAGTAAAATAAGAACAAACGTGTTATCAGCATTAATCTTAATAAGCGGTGATGTCGTCTTGATCTCTGGCTTTATTAATTTATTTATGCTAGATACCTTTTTACTAAGCGTTTTAGATAAAATGTTATCTTATAAGTATGTTATATTATATTATAACAACTAAGATTAGAATTAACACTCATTAGAACTAAAATTAGACTTAGAACTAGAACTAACACAAGACCTAGAACTAGAACCATTCGGGTTTAGCCGTCTTGAAAGACGTGCGGCTAAATCCGAATGATTCTAGTTTCCGGTCTAGTGTTAATTCTAGTGGCAGTGCTAGGTAGCGCTAGTTACTATAATATATTACTGTGTTGTATATTTTTATTAAACTAAAAGTAGAACTAGAACATTCGAGTTTAGTCATGAAAAAAACTTTCAGTTGTTAATGTTAACTTTAATTTTATTATATTCGTAATCTTCATAAAAAATCCTTTAAAATGAGTCCAAACTCGACATATTTAACTTTAAAATTAATGGAAATACAATCACTTCCGGTTTGAAACGTCAACGTCAATTTTGACATATTTGTCATCTTCATTAAAAAACCTTTAAAATGAGTCCAAAGATGACGCACTTATCTCAAAAAATAAAAAAGTTAGAATAAAAAACATTAAACCCGAAGTTGGCAACAATGAAGATAGCAATTTAATTTTTAAATATTAATACCAACCTTAATTTTTTGTATTATATTTTTGTTTGACAAATATTAAGACATTTTATAAAAATTAAGATTATGTCAAAATGACATTGACATTTCAAACCGGAAGTTGCTTATATCTCGAGTAATATTGAAATTAAACCTATCATGTTTGGGCTCATTTTAAAGGATTTTTCACGACGATTACAAATATGTCAAAATTGACGTTGACATTTTTAACCGGAAGTTGACCATAACTTCATTAATATTGAAGATAAATATGTCGTGTTTGTACTCATTTTAAAGGATTTTTAATGAAGATTACAAATATGTCAAAATTGAGGTTGACATTTTAAACCTGAAGTTAGTTATC